CATCTATTCCCAAAAAATCACCTCTAATTGCCTGAATGCCAATTCGTCACATCCTCCGGCCATCATCTTTCTTTTCCCTTTCTTGACTTATCTCAGTCAGAGATTATTCTAATAAGCAGCGTCAAATAAAATCCATTCGCCTCCTTCTTCCGTTCATCCCGTCTTTCAATGTCCGACGTTTTAGAATTTTGATGTCCCTGGAACTTATTTTTTGTGATATATATAGTGGCACTCTTCCTAAATTGCATGCGCATGCGTCTCCACATGGAAGCCTTTCTAATTCTGTCAAAAAGTTCCAGGGAATCCGCGCTTTCCTTAGGACGCAAGCATGCCATTCTTCAACATTCACTATCAACATTTTAAGATATAGTTTTCTTCATCCATTCAAAAATAATCAAAACTCACTCAATTCATGTGAAAAGTCTATCATTTGCTCTCCATCGATGTCTCATGGAGATAATTTCTACTTTCCGCGATACATATTCTTTATGCTTAGACGTGTGTGTGTAATTTTTCAAGTTCAATTTGTTTGTTCATGGCATATGCCCTAGACTTTAAAAATTTCCCCCACCATTAACATTTGTCATTCTGTGAGTGAGATTTGTTTTTTCCACTCATAATGCATAAAAATATATGATAACAAATCCGTCCATGCCACTGTGGAAGTCGGCTTATCGCCAATCTGTTTTGTTTGCAAGTGCCATCAAAGTTCAACACGCAACGAAAATCTAATTTGTGAATATATTCCACAAATTCGTCCATACCTAATACCACTGCAATGAGAACATCTTAAAAGTATCCATTTTACCAATTTAGGAATACAAAATCACTTAATATTATACTTGAATACATGTAAATTTGGATTTGAGTCAAATTCATTATTTGAGTAATTAAAAATATATAAATTTAGATTTACCCTAAATCCAAATTCAAGTTCTACTTTAACCTTTTTTTAATTTGTTAACCTTTTTTTAATATTATACTTGATATGATTAATTTAAGTCTTTACGAAGATTCTTGAAATCTCATGTGAGACTTAAATATTTTATTAATTTGAATTATAAAAAAGAGAGTTAATTTTTATGATAGGCCTTTGAAACCCATATTAACATACAAGTTTTGCTCTCATATCTGCAAAACCTTATTAATTTACACGATATGAGATTATTTTAAATGCCTGCAGAAATTTTCAAAATCTCACACGAAAGATAAATAACAAACAAATATATACTCTCTTATTTCATTAGATGTCAATTACAAAATTGAAAATTCATCAGAAATGGAACTCCCATCTGGTGATAACATAATGCGCATGCAAATAGATAAAGAAGGTAGAGAATCATGTTGAGACATTACAAATAGATAAAGGGGCTCTATCAGTATAAGGATCAAAGCCAAGCCACCACCTATCCACATATCCTTTTAGGCTAAAAACATATTCAAAAACCCTGTCTAACAATCACATTAATTCTTTCATTATCTGAGATAAAATTATAATGAGATTATACCTAAAATTAAATTAGGCTAATTACAATAGCAAGCAAAAATTTTATTTGCAATCTCCTTATCATTCTTCTTCACACGTTTGCGTCCATCAAGCCATACATGAACATATGTAAATTTTACAGTGTTCATGGCAAGAATGCTTCCAGAAACACCAAACAAAGCCAAATTCCATACCCAAGAATTCTAATGAAATGCAAGCATCTAAATGATAAAACAGGCATATGTCCCCAACACTGATCAAAGCTTATAGATATTTAAACATGAAATTTGTTTGGAAATAATAAACCGAAATCAGACGTAAACATTCCAAATTCAGAAGCAAGCATATTAGAGAACTTGTGTGTAGAACGTCTTCTTCCTCTCAATATCCTAGATATGTCTCACTGTTTAATTAAAAATAATATAGTTAACAACAAGGGCTTTGAAAAACAAAATTAAAAGATAGGAGTGTTAATTTTAAATTTTAAAAGGTAAGAGATCATATATAACTGCTTCAAAATTTGGTGAAATTTTATGCATTTTATTCAAATGTTTAAATAATATTAATAATTATAAGATATTAAAAATATTTTTTCAACAAAGATGAGGAAATAAATAACTATAACTCTATAAGAGCTTATGGCAGATGCGTACGAGAAGGAAAGAGAGCAATGACTCGTTGACGAGAAAAAATCTGTACCTGTTATGGGCTTCTCTAAGAACGTGTAGTCAAGTGAGCTTCCCTGGTCTGCAAAGGATACGGCCTCTCTGAGGTGTGGTCCATCTACAGTAGCCATTCGGTTTCGCATCAGCCAGTGTCTAATTAATTTCATTCACAGTTTTACAAACTGATTTTCGCAGTCCCATTTAATCATCACAATAAAGGCTCCAGATGATTGAAAATTGGCCATTTTAATTACAAAATCCTAGTTATACCAGAAAAATGTATTATGGCCTCTCGAAATCCCTCAAAATTGTAAAAAACGGATCTTTCTAATTTATTATGAACGAATGCGGACCACACGCTGCAGCGATGATCTGATCGAAGAAATTAAAGAAGATGGACAGCGAGAGATGTGGCCACGTGGGGCTGCTGAATCAGGAAAGACACGTGGCCCTTGGTGGGAGCAAGGAGAAGACAGCGCTGTTGAACCGTTGAGTACAGCCCACCATGCCTGAATGCCAATTCATCTTTCTTTATTTTCTTCCTCTCAATATCCTAGATATGTCTCAAATTTTGAAGGTATAGAGTTATTTAACGGTGGGCAGCACATAAAGTGCAAATGGGAAAAACATGGTGACTTCTTAATGAAGTTAGCATACTGTCAACTATTGAAAGAGGATCAAATAGAGGATAAAATATGGGGAAGAGTTTGGAAATTGAATCTACCTCAACAGTGCAAGTCTTTTATGTGGCTTGTTATTCACAAGAGATTGCCTACAAATGAGGCATGTAAAAATAAAAAAATGAACACAGATGACCAGTGTGCGTGGTGGCCAAACTGCATGGAAAACTCACTATATGTGCTTCGAGATTGTCCAGAGACGCATCAACTTTGGTGCCGTCTGGCTTGACCTAGTCATCTAGCTATGTTCTTTGACTTAAATCTCTCTCAGTGGCTTAGATGGAGCTTGAATGATGGAGGTAGCAAGATGCATTCGAATTGGTGTAATATGTTTTCTATGTGCTGCTGGCTCATTTGACAAAGAAGGAACATGCATATTTTTGAGAATGAAACTAGCAGTAATGAGTCCATATATGCCCAAGCACTTTTTGTCCTCTCTAGCATGATCAAACAGAAGAACTCCTTAGCTGGAGTAAATCTATCAGGTAACGTTATTGGGCCTAGGTTCGCTACTTGGAGTGCCACCTTTAGGATGGATCAGCATTAGCGTTGACGACGCCTTCTCCCAAAGGACAGACACGGAGGGTGTGGGGGAATCATCAGAAATAATTCCAAGTACTTAATATCTGGATTTATCCATGAAAAGATTGGATTTAATAGTCTAGAAACTGAACTTTGGGCGATATTAATAGGACTGGAGGAAACCTGGGACCTGGGATATAGAAAGGTTAATGTTGAAAGTGACTCTCTTGAAGCCATTCAACTTATTAGCAGAGAACCATGCTCATGCCATCAACTTAATCAGTTAGTCGACGAGATTTAAGACCTTCTTTAAAGAGTGTGCACTGTCAGTGTGACATATATATGTAGACGTGCCAAACGCTATTGCTGATAAGCTAGCTAAACGTGAGCTCAATAGCTGGCCAGGGTTTGGTATAATGCTTTTTCCCCTTTTATTAGCTGATTGTAATAATAACCCCTAGCCTTAAGCAGGCTGCCTCCTTTTATCAAAAAAATAAAAGAACCTTTTGTTCTTGGCCAGGGCAAGAGCTTTTGTTCAAAAATCTTCTTCCATTGTTAGCCCTGTCGTTCCCCGTTAATAACGACGAGCAATCTCTAATCATTTGGAGATACAATTTTCAAATCTTTGGGGAAATATTTAGATACCAGGATTAATGTTAAAAAGAATAAAACTATTTTTTTTGAATGAAAAAACTCAAATTTTCAATCAATACAAACCTAAGTATTATCACAACAAGTAGGGGTGAAAATAGGTTAAGTTAAGCTAGACTTTGGTCAACTAGGCTTAAGCTTGTGTGATAAATTAGAGGCTTGAGCTTGGCTTAGAGCTTAGATAAGGTTTTTTTTATGACTCAAGCTTGAGCTTGCTTAAAGCTTGACCTGACTTGAAAGTTTATTTAAAAGCTTGTTTAAAAGTAGACCTTTTAAATAAACTTATATTTTAATTTTGAATGTCTCAAATATACCTTAGGGCTATTAGTACAAAATATATAACCTAATTTATCCATTATAATATATAATAATTAAAGGGATTTATCAATTACAATATAATATAATAACAAAATAATAACATTAAAATTAATATATAAGTCTAATTTGATTGAAAACATAATTAAAAATAAAAAAATAGATTGATTAAAAATCAAATTGTGAAAATGATGTGTGTGTAATATATTACATAGTGTTTGTATAAATAGGTCGACCTATTGAACTCGTAAATTAAACTTTAAAGAATAAACTTAACCTATTTAATTGAATAAGCCTAAACTCTGTTCAACTACTAAAAAAGCCTCATAAGGGTTTGACTAGCTGGTTGCATAGGTATGTTATGGGAAAATCTAGTTTGGGAGAACTTGTTTGAGTTTTGTTTTTGTATGGCCCTATTTTTAATAAAAAAAAAACTTAAACTTAAACTTAAATATATTTAATAATTAAATTAAGTTAGATTTGAAATAGGTGGGAATATAAGCCCCTATTCTCACACTTAGCGACAAGCATGTCACTCTTTTCTTCTTGTCTTTACTTGTACCACGCCTATATCAACATTAACCTTGTGAAATTTTTTTCTTCCTTTTCTCGTGAATATATTTGATGTTTTATTTTTCAAAAAAATGATATAAAATATTATAAATTATAAATTATAAACTTTGAAAACCCTCCATCTTCCTGTCGCCGACGTCCGGGTGTGGGCGCCGCGCGTTGATGCTGGTGGCTTCCATCCTTGGTTCTTCTCCTTCCGCCACCGGTGCGCGCTCGCGCAAGTTTCCATTTGCTGCTGCTGCTGCTGCTGCGGGTCGACCTGTGGGGGGTTAGAATCGGCGAACTCTTCTGTTCCCCTTCCTTTGTTCTGCCTCTCTGTCTATAATGCTTCTTTCTCCTTTCCTTTGTTGCGTTGGTATATGTGTGTTCGAATTCTTCTTCTTCCTCCTTTCTCTGCTGTGATCAAGTATTGTGAAGTGGGTGGTTTAAATTTTGTTCTTCCCCTCTGTTTTAGTTACTGTGTGAGTGGGGCACAGAGGACGGAGTTTTAAGCAAGCTGAATTTGAAGTTTACCGAGCTCTTTTGATAGGTAATTTCACTTTAATGGTTTTGATTGTGGTAGAAGGTGGGCGATGCAATTTGGGTTCTGTTTTCTTTGAGCTTAAATTGAATTTGGGAAGCATGATAAATTTAGAAGGTAGCACTAGCAATGGAGTTCTAAAACACTTTTGTTTTCCCTCAAAAAACAAGGCTTCAGCAATGGCTAGTTCTCCATTCGTTACTCTACAGATAATATACAATTTTACTGTTTAAAAATACTGATTACTGAGCGTTCAAGAGCACTAACTTCCATATTGAACTCCAGAGCTCGACTGGGGAAAGGTCCTCCTCACAAGATGTCTAGAGTAGAGGAAGACGAAGACGCGGAGAAGCGTCATCAATTGAAGCTTGAAGAAGCCCTAGAAATCAAATCGCTCAGGCGTATAATCAGTGCTTACCTCAAGTACGATTCACTACATCCATTTGTCAGTAAAATTTTCTTGCAGGTTATTCATTGTTATTTTGTCAGGAAGATAACATTTCTACCGGTTTAATTAGCAATAATCTGGGTAATTTTGGGATGTCATTTAAGTTGAACTGATTTGTGCTAACAATGATTTCCTTAGTGACTAGGGTTAGGTTGGCAAGTGGCACTTTAGGGTCATCAGTACTTTGAAATGACTAGTGAGGCCTTTCTCATCGAATGAGAGTGGACTACGGTTGGTTTGACTCTAATGAAGTCTTCTGTGAATGATGATATTAGCATTGAATAGGAACTAGATATTATTTGATTTCTTCAAATTTGTAGAAGGTGAAGGAGGCCTGGAAATTGTACAAGTTTGAGATTGTTTTTGACTTTTTTTAGTACTTTAAACTAATATTTCTTGTTTTGCCACCAAGAGAAAAGATAAAATATAGTCTGAAAGATATACTTTTCTTGTTAAAAGTTGAAGCAATTTTTGACCTCTTAAGAGAGAAGCATGGAACTGATATGATGTTATAATACTAAGTAAAAGTAAGTTAAGGTTTAGTTAGTGTAATTAGGGGAGACTATAAAAGTCAGCTTCGTTGTTCTCTCTGGTTTTTCTGTCACCTTCTATCTCATTTTCTTCTTTGTTGCTGGTTTCTATTTCTTTCCCGTCGCTGGTTTATCCTTCTTCATCGCTGGACTGTTTTTTCCTTGGTGTTGGGTTCTGTTCATTTAGCCTATAGGACGCAAGGGTTGAGATGGATGATCAAGTTTTGTGTATTTTGGGACTTGGACTGGGTGCTTGTCTTACTTCAGATTTCTTCACAAGTTGGGATTTCCAATGGGCAAGGACTTATGGTCATGCGTTGCCAAGAAACAGAAGAAATAATGATTGTTGCACATGTGGGCACTTTGCCAGGGAGTGTGTTACAGTCTTTATGTTTATGTGTATGAAAAAGTCAAGGGCACAGATGTCTATCTTAAGGTGGGACCCTCAAGAATGGTACCGCCTACTTAAAGTAGGACAGAGAAGAAGAAAAAACGACGAAATGTGGTAGCATGGGCTATGTACATGTTGCATTGAATGGTTCAAGTCAAAAGACTTGGACAGTAATCCTTTCACGTTCAAGAGGTTTTTTCCAGACTTTAAAGCATAAGTTCTTCTGTCTGGTTTTCAAGTTTGTACCTTAGGATTTTTCTGTTCTTGACCTTTGAGGGCAGGTTCTCTTGGGAGGGGGTATTGATATGATATTATAATAAATAAAAGTTAGTTACGGGTTAATTAGTGTAATTAGGAGAGACTATAAATAGATGGGTTGGGGACTAATTTCAATAGGCTTTGGTTAATGGAAATGTGATCCCTATTTGTCTCTCATCCCTTTCTCTGTATCTTTCTGCTTCTCTTCTCTATATTTCTCTCTTTCCCTCTTTCTCTCCTATCAGAATTACAGAGATACATCAGGAGCTTTATTTGTAAAGACATAAATATAGCCTCATTTGTATTATATTCCAATGATGTGTTTTCTTTTTCTGAAATGAAGTGTGCTATTAAATATTAATTGACGTGACTTGCATTATATTTTGCTTCATTTTGCTGCAATACTGCCTTCTCTAGTATAATTTAGCATTGATCAATTTCAGAAAAAAAGATGAGATTCTTTTATCTGGCATTATTTTTGGTGGCAAGGACAAGATGTTCTTGATATAGAGAAGGGTTTCAATACTTGAGGAAATATTGGTGAAGTGCTAGTAGCTAGAAATTAATTAGGTGAGAGAGAACAAAAAGGAGTCCTGTTAGTTAAGAGTAACTAGCCTGTTTGTAATGCACTCATACTACTATTAACAGGGACCCATGTGCATGGTCTGGTTCTGTTGACTGTTGAATGATTTGAGTATGATACAGAAGCTTACCTTTTATTGATACAAGCTGACAGTCATATCAGTTTTCTTTACGGAAGTGATTTTTTTCTTTTTTGTTTTTCCCTTTTCATTTTATGTACTTCATTGGAGTGACTCCCATATGTCATAAATTTACAAATAAATATACTTGTATAAAGCTGGCCGAATTGTACTTGCTTCTTAAGGCATGTCTGTCTTTTTTTTTTTTTTTAAATTATGATCTTTTATCTTAGGCATTTTTTTCATGATGAAAATGCAAGCTAATATAACTTGAAATTTGGGTATTATTTTTTTTTTCACATCTATAAAATCTGATACTGCTCTTTATTTTTTATTATCTTTTGATGTCGCACTGCTTTAAACCTTGGAAGTTGCAATTGGATTACCATTCATTGACTTTGATGCAGCTATCCTGATGCTTCTGAAGAGGATGTCAGAAGATATGAAAGATCTTTCAGGAAACTTCCACCTGCACACAAGGTATTTCTTGTAGTACAATAGTAAGATTATAGCGAAAGAGGGTGAGTGTGAAGAAGAAAGACCGAAAGGGTGAGGTACAGAAGAACTAAAGTGGGAGAAGGAATTGTTGATAATCTGAATACTTTATTATCAAATCAATCTGAGTTTACCCTAGTTGTCTAGTGCAACTAATGGCTTTACATTTGGTTGATCAGATAACTGCTAATATAAATAAAAGATAATATCTACTCCTAATTCCTACCAAAGATAAGATAAGATGGGAATAATATTAAGCCTATATATTTATCAATATTAATATAAATTATTATTTTCTAGTCTTATCCTGATAAATATTATTTTTATCCTTATCTTTACCCAGTTTACAAATACTATATCTTTCTTAGTCTTTTCCATTCCATTCTCCATTCTTCTTGCTTGGTTGTTGAAAACTTGACCTCAAGTTTTAAAGTGTGGAATCAATAAGAAGAAAATCCATCTTGGGGCATTAGCTAGGACCAATAACATTACTTTAAATATGGTAACTAAAGTAGCTTTCGGGCACTCTTAAAGTCTACTCCCTCCGTTAAAAAATATAGGGCATTTTTTGAGGGAGTTGAATGTTAAAAAATATAAGGCATTTTTAGTGTTTCAAGGTATAATCATTTTGCTTTTTCCAAAAGTGCCCATGATAAATAAATTACTTTATATTTATTTTAAAGTGAGACACCTATTAAATGAGGGTAAATATGGAAAGATGATGTTAGTTTGAAGATAAATAATTACTTTATTGCAGGCGAGATTCGGTTAAAAATGTGTTATTTTTTAAATAGAGGGAATATAAGTTTAGTTGGTTGAAATAATATGGTTGTGAAATCTGCATCATAAGTTATACCTTTAATCATTGTCTCAAATAATTATGGGCTTGGCAGCCTAAATTACATCTAATTTCTCTTTGAAATCTACAATGTTGCTATCATCATGTTTGATGGGCAATTGAAGGGTTCCACGATGATAACATCAGGTTTCTTCAGAGATGGTTTCTTTTATTGCGGACATTTTTCTTCTGCCTTTGGCCCTTCCAAGTTTTTTTTTTTGGGTGTGATTTGTATGCTTAATCAAGAGCACAACATACCCTTCCAAAACAATGGTCAAGCTGGTCAAGGAAATCTCTGTGCAATGCTTTGAGTGTAACTTTTATGAACCCCATGCACTAGTAGTTTCACTGCTGTATGATGGCACATGTGATGCGTGTGCTGCAGCTTTGGGGACAGGCTATATTTGGTGGTGTATCTGATCGTGTGGTAACATGCTGGTTGGAGGTGTGACATCCAAATTGACAATGGTAATTATAAATGTCCAATGAGTTTTTGCGCAGAGGTGGCAAAGGGAGTGGTTGGAGTGTATTCTCACGCTGTTATTACTTGTTGTAGAACAGTAGCAAGATTATAGAGAGAAGGGAAAAAGAAGACGGAGTTACAGAAGAAATAAAGGGAAGAAAAAACTGTAGCAAATCTAAAGGGTTATTATAAAGCCAAAGGCTAAATGAGCCGAGTATGACAATATCCTTCTTATTCTCTTTCCATTCTCCATTAGTCTTCTCTTATGATGATGAGGCTGTTTTTGCCATCAATTTTGGACGTCTTTTTTTTTTTTTTTTTTTTTAATAGAGAATGGCAGTGAGAGCTTGTAGAGGAGAAAAAGCAATGTGGGCCAAACACAACTGAAGGTTTATCTATTCACAACTTGTGCTCAGCCTTCATAGCCATTCTCCCTTTTTTTTTTCAGTAACTTCTACCAGATTGTGCTCCCAATGCATCCTATCAGATTTCTTTTTTGATTTTTTTTGAATTGCCTTGTTTTTACGTAGTTGTGATTCAATATGTGTTTTTTGGTTTATTCTAATGTTCCTCTTTGTACTTTACTTTCTTCTTGTGTTTTTAGGCTTTATTATCTCATTATCCTCAGAAGATTCAAAGGTTGCGCCGGTAAAAATTACTTTACCTTCTCTTTTCTTTTATCTTTTTAAATTTGTCATATTATTCTTTGAAAGAATTTTGGAGTTGTTTTAGAGTAGATGCCAACTGCCTTGGGTCCAATGACACTTTTTCCACACACAGCGACAAGAGAAATAAGAGGTTCTAAACTTGTTGCTGAAGATGGAATTTCTGATAAGTTGAATAGCCTGAATGAAGATTGTCTTGTGTATAGTTAATATGATGAGGATACAGAAATTAATGATTACCTTTCAATTTGGGCATGGTTTTGTTTTATCTGCC